AGCATAAGCACTGGGATATGCAGTGAAAGAAAACGCTACAGTTGTTAAATCTTGATGAAGAGCAACCTACCCGTCCCCAGTTCCAGCAAACTGGGTTATGCATCCCACTTCTGAAGCACCACATTAGCACTGAAGTAACCAGGGTTCCAATCTCAGCCTTCCCACTCATCTCATGACAATGACAGCATCACTTCATCCCTAAACTTCACCTTTTCAACTTTTCATCTAAGTACACAGATAATAAAATTTCCTTGCTCCCACCTTGTATTTGTCTAACTTGCAAGTCATTCCCCTTTACTTTCTGCTCCCATCCACTTTTTTATGTAGGGAAAAGTACTGCTTACAAACTGTTTTTACAGTTTCAGCTCTGCTCTTAGTATATCACTCTTTGAAACATTGTTAATGCAACACAGCCCCCTAGTGTGGATGCAATCCAACAGTTTAATTCACATGGAATTATAAGGCTCTAACTTTAACCAGACTATACATGGTAACAATTACACTGACTTCACTTAAACAAAACAACCAACCAACAACAACAAAAAAAATAAAACCACAAAAAAAGCAGCCAATAATCACGTATGTAGACTGGAAAATTTAATAGCTAAAATAGTTTACATTTGGAGCAGTTCAGCTACCATTTATGAGTGAAGGTCTATATTATTTCAAAAAGAGGGAATTAAATCATGGACCTTAATTCTGATGGCTCACATCTTAAGGACTGGAATAACCTGGGGTATCACTTATGTTAAATAATTCTGCACCACGTTCAGCAGTTGGATTTCCCCTCTCATTCTGTTGTGCCAACACAGCAAATTCAATCACGATGCTGCTCCAGGTTAGGAAAAGCAAATGGGCAGGATTCCCTGCTAGAATGAGCTTCCTGATATCCATGTAAACACCACTGTACAACAGTGGTACAGGAGGTAGGAGACAAAGTGGCAGTCTGGGAACAAGCAACCTAACCAAAATGTATGCATAGTTCCTCACCAGCGTTCATATTCAGCTTAAATGACTTTTCCAGTATTTTATTTCTGCCTGCCTTTAAGGCTAGTTTCAACATGCTTAGACAAGCTTTTCTAGTCATGTCTCATGTCCTGCTTTCCTCTGGTGATCTCAGAAGAGTTTGTCTGCATCTCTTCTACTCCCAACAAATATGCCTTCACTACAATCATGCAGAACTGCACCCAGTATTCCAGTGAAGCTTGGAATTTTCAAGCAAAATAAGATTGACTGGAGTCTGAAAATGCAAGATGGGATGAAAGACTGTAGATTAGACAATTCACAGCATCACATCTTCATCTAGAACAACTTTGCAAAACCATTAGATAAAAAAAAAACCAAACAAAAATTCAATTTTGAGACCGACAATAATCAACAGACCCCAAGGAAAAAAAAATTACATTTTCCCAAATGTTTAAGAAAACAATGAGGCACTGAATGAATAGATAAACATTTGATTTTGGGGTTGTTTTGGTTTTGGGTTTGTTTTGGGGTTTTTTGAGGGGGAGGGGGGTTGAAGGGTTTTTTAGATTATGGCTTGTGTTGTATAATGCAATAAACATAAAATACTTAGATTTAAACTTTCCCCTGTTTCACTACAGAGTCAAATTGATTAAATGGTACGTGGCTAAACCTTCTTAAAAGCCTCAGATTTTTCTTCACATTTTTATGTATTCTGTTTACATATTTTAATATTAATGATAAGAAAGGTTCATGTAACCTGAGACTTGACCCCTCCAAAACCAAAAAAATCTAGTATTTTAGCATTTATATTTGGCCACAAACAAGGTGAACAAACATTTTTCTATATGTATATATGCTGCAGATTCACTTAGCAATAAACATGAAGGTTTATATTACTGGGACTAAGTTGTAGGACTTCATAATCAGTTTTTAATTTGGTGTCTATGCTCCTATAGTTATGCTGTTCTTCTTTATGTTTCTGCATCAACTAACCATCTCATCTCCCTTCCTGACTAAAGGGCTTATTTCACAATTAATCTTCAATTATCTTCTGTGAAAAGGGCATATTTACCAGCATCAGTGATACCATAAAGCTAAATCAGTGCTTATAATTTTAAGGTGGGCATGTGAAATACAACAGCTTATTATGCACTCATGCACACAAAACCTTTTTTCAGTTGCTGTTTTTAGAAAACCACTAGCAGAAAACCACAGATGAAAAAAAAAAAAACAACTTAATTAGGGTAACTGCTTTTGTAAACTAATATGTAAAAAATAGTAGTAATAACCGAGTAACCATTTACAATCTTTAAGGCTATGACCTTGTAAGGAATCAGCTGGTGAGAAGATATTTTGCCCCATTACAAGGTTCCCCCCAAAAGTGGCTGTTGTTTTTGAAACCACGCTCCCTCGAATAGACAGGGTTGCAGGAAAGTGCTACCCCGCTGATGCGCTTGACAATTCACAAGGCAGTGCCAAACTCCTCATGTTTAATGTGGCATTTTGACAGCATCCACTTAGAACAGCAGCATCCTACATCACCTACACAGACTATTTGATTCCCTATGTGCTACCTTCTACCACTTAGAAGTTGATCAGTGATCAAAACTTCCATTTACTACAATTAATAATTACAATAATTTTAAACAGTAAAGAACATACTTTATAAGATAGTTTAAAAAGAAGTTACAGCTCCAACTCTCTTAGGCAAAATATATTTGAGAGCAAATACGGTAAAGAAAGGAGTGTTACAAATGGAACTAATTATTTACTGAGGTAATGCTTGTGATTTGTCTCTCAAAACTTGCATCTTGAAGTCTAATTATTATTCTCTATGAAATCACCAAAACACCAAAGCCTCTAAACAGAAATAAATACTTTTGGCTTTCTGTAGAGTCATGCCTTTTTATTTACCTAATGCAAATATGAGGACAGCCAAAATTCATTAGAAACTATTGGTGTTGCAGTCTAGAATATAATCAAGATCTTTTTCATGCTGACCAATACCCAGCGTATAACATTTTTTCCTGCCAAAAAGGCTGACCAAAACCCAGTAATATTATTTGAAGGTTTCTAAATAATTCATTACTTCATTTTACATACAAATTGCCTCTTCTTCCAAGTGAAATAATAAATTTATTTTTTGGGGGGAAAATTACAGACATAGTTAAAAGAGTAATAAACAGCTGTATAATAAATATTTTAAATATACTAGATTCTTTTAACTGTTCAGTGATATTACTCAATGCAAGAACCATGTAATTTAGCTGATCTTTTGTACTGTTGCTAAGCAGCAATAGTACAATATCCTAAAAATGAATTAGCATTTCTCATATCTTTTTATTTTATATTGTTTTTGTAAACAGCTTAATTTAATTTTCTTGGAATCCTTCTCATCTTTTAATTTAAAATTTAATTAGGTCGTAATTACAAATCTTCTGTCATGTGCATAGTAAACCTGTTTCCTCTCTGTTATCCCACATATTAAAGTTAGCATATGCAACTTCTTGAAATAATAACCTTTAACAGTTCAACATGCTACAAAACAAACTGTTAGAGGTGACCTGGGAAACCAATAGGAAACCGAATGTCAGTTCAGAACTAAATGTCATATACCTCTAGAGAGTAGGCAGCAGAAGGCAACTACATTCTAGTTTATCATTACTGCTAGCAGTATGCTAGTTGCCAAATAACTGCAAATGTGTTGTTCTGTAGCATCACTGAAGGGACTTCATACATGTGGCTGTATCACTTCTTCTGGTGACAAACGAAATGCCCTTGCAGGTGAGTTTTTCCATTTCCAGAGCAGGTAAAGTGAGGTATTTAGTGCCTTAAGGATTTAAGTATAGCAGCAGCGAAACATATTTTTGAACTCTGACATAGCTCCACAAGCCTGCCTTTACAAATAAGAACACATTATTTTCTTTTCTAATTACTTTTCTGTCTCTCTGGACTCAAATAAAATGCAAGTTCAGCAAACAGCTAAATGAAATTAACCGAAGACGACACACACAGATTCTCATACAGTAAAGTTACCTTTTGAATTGTATATATATTTTTTTTTTCTTACTTTCACTTTCCATTTGCTAAAAAACAATAGAAAAATGTTGGTGTTGTGGATAACATTACAGTCAGTTATACTTTACTCAGGTCACTGCCATCACTTAGGGAATGCACATTGAAATTTTCTCAGGTGAATTAAATAAAGGATTTTGTTTATAATCAAATTTTCATTATACTAACATTTTATAATACTGTTGATTCTACAGGAAATCAATCATACTTTAAGAAATGTACAAGAAGGTTTCTACTGAAGACAATGCACTTGATTACCAATAGAGAAAAAGAAAAGGGTTTAAAAAGAAACAGGAAAAAAGGGAAAATAGAGAATAAAGGGAAAGAAGCAAAGGGATAAAAAGGAGGAAGAAAAAGAAAATTGTAAACCTTGAAAGAGAATTCAAGACATAATATTTGAATAGTACAAGGTTTGCAGTAATATTACAAAATAGCACGTAGAAATTATCTATGCTACTGTCGCAAAGTATGTAATTTGCTTTTTAAGTATCAACCAAGGAAATATCAGGAGTAAAAATATACAATATATCATTTTACTTAACAAAGACTACATTTGTAAACTTCATACCTTTAAAAAAAAAAATTGATGTGTGCGTGTGTGAACCACCACACAAATATTTTAATATGCATTTGATTAGCAGGCAGACACAAAACCAGCACTAATTCTAAAAAAAATTAAAATAATTTTAATTGTTGTAAGATATTACAGCATGAAAATTAATCCTAAAATTCTATTTACTTGTAAAGAAATACCCTCGAAATGGATAAAAATAGAATTTTTATTTTAAAACCTCATAAATAAATTAAATGTCTTTTCTAAAAAGCCATTTATACCAAAATTAGATGGATTTTCCTACTTACAGGGTACATTAAATGACTATATCAGTTGAATGTTAAAAGCTCAAGGTCTTCTCAACTGTTTGATTGCTAAATATTATGCCAAATATTCCAAAAAAAGCTTTATAGTCAGGAAAAAGACCTGTTTTCTTTATTTCAGCTATAACACAGAAGATAAACAGTGGACAAGAGTGAAAAAACCGCATGACAGGCTGTCTCTTTCAGGCACTTTCATAACTCTGAAAATAACATGTTCAACTATTTATTTGAAAGGTAAAAATCCTTCCCTTTAGGAATTCAAATTTCAAGAAATTACATATTCTTTTAAATGAATTATCACTCAACTAGAATACCAACATTATGATGAGATGGGTCCCAAGGAGAAACAAGCAGTCTCATATCCCTTCCAAACCTATGCATTCTATGACTCCAGGTTGATACAACAACCTTTCTGGAAGGCACCAGGTTCCTGGCATACGTTGTGTGACTCCTTGAGGAAATGACCCAGCAAAAGGACACCTCATCTCAGGGAAGCACCAACCTCTGCTTGTGCATGGCATGGAAGCAGCACACTAAAGGCAACAAAACCAATGGATCACAGGTCAGGATACACAATACAGTCTGAATGAGGAATGTCATACTCAACCCAAATACACCATAGCACTGAAGAGAACAGATGTCACCTTCTTCAAAACAAATACTGAAAATTAAACCTAAGCAATCTCAGGGCTGTTTTTTTACATCACCAGCTTTCATCAGGGCCTTAATAGCTCTGGCCCTCATCTCAAGCTCCAGAAGCTCCAGCTGCTGTGCTGATGGTTGAACATCTTCTGATGGAGGAACAGCTAAGGTCGACGCTTTGGGCTCCTTTGGGCTGGACTCTGCTAACCCCAATATCTCATTCACACTTTTCTCAATGTCCTTCTGAAGGTCATCTATCTGACCAGCTCCACTCCTGACAGTGTTTTCTTGCACATCTGGGCCATCTTCTTCATTGCATGGGCCTTCTATGTCACTATCATATGCATCTGCATTTATGCTGAGGACATCACTATCTTCTCCCTTGCCTGTAACACAAACACAGCAATCACACCGTTGCCTAATAGAACTGTTTTTATTTCAACTTACGAAACCATTTCTGCTTAAAGTACTACTCTACAGATTAAGAGAGGGGTAAAAAGATCTATGATTATAAAACAACCAATTCCTATTCTTTTTCTCCTTCAACTTTTAAGGCTGATCTAATGTATACAATTGCTAATGCATTTTATGCCAATCTAAAAGAACATGCTGTATAGTAAAGCAGCAGTACCAGAAAAATTTATTTTATCCTATGAAGTTACATGACCTATTTTCCTAATTAAAATGTCATAAGATTTTATATCCCAAGAAAGCTTCTGTAGTGCAAAATTGATTATTGTTTATTATTTCTTAAGTAAACTTAATTTTCAAAATGCAATTGCAAAACTTGTTCTCAACTATTTTATGTATTTCAAGAGGAGTGGGACACTGTAGTCAGGCACAGCACTAAAAATCAATAGAAAATCCACTTATAGTGCAACTACTCAGAACCTATCAAAACTATTCTAGATGTATTTAACTTGACAAAAACATGGAGGAATTTGTGGCTTTGGCTTTTAATGGCGGCTAAAAGTTGGAGTCTATTTTTAAAAATGTGCTTAGAAGAGGCAGTGCAATAAAATAAAAGCAAAGGTCTAAAAGAACCTCAGTAAATGTTCTCACAATCCAGAATCAGAGAGACTATTGCTTTTGACACTTTGGCCTCAGAAGTTATTACTCCTTTACCAACCTTCAGATCTGTGGAAACTTACAGTAGGATTGGTTCCTTATTAAAATAAATAACGTATATTCAGATGATGGCAAAGTTACTTATTCTAAAGACTTTATTATAAATAAATCTTTATAATATAGGAAGTCTTAATATATATAAAGACTTCTTTTGGTAATACCATTTTTATCACTTGCACAGGAGAAACAAATTAGGCTTTAGAAAAATATTACCCTTTTTTTAAACATTCTAATATGCCTTTAGGTACCCACATGCATTTGGTTTTAATCCATGAAAAGTGCCCAAAAACCTTAGGAGAGATCTATTTTTCTCAGGGTTTACAACATTCTTGCCATCATGTGGGTGTGAGAAAAAAAAAATGAATACTGGCTACTTGAAAAGCTATAAATACAATTTCTCTGCTTAAAAAACAAAGGAAGGGAGGAAAGAAGAACCAAAATATCTCAAAATGGCTTTATAAATGATGCATTTTAAAACATTAGTCCAAGGTTTTACTGATTCAGTGTCCTAGTTAGAACAGCTGGGACCGATTCATCATTGGATGGGTGTAGCCCAAATCTGTGTATTCTATAGCCCTCCATGCCATTTCCCAGAAACTGTTGTCAGTAGAGGCCTGCGAGGTGCCCCCCCCCCCCATGCTCCTGTCCTCATGCCCTTTTGTGGAATTCCCTGACTGAGCACCCTCACACCCTTTTATGGAATTCCCCACTCTGAGGGAAGGACTGAACATCCTTTTATGGAATTCCCCACTCTGGGGGAGGGGCTAAGCATTGCTGCCTGAGCTGGAGAATATATAAACCTGGAGTTTCAGAACCTTGCCACTCTCTCCACTCGTGGGATCCAGAGGAGGACTGCAGCTCATCGCTCTCAGCTCATCGCTCTCAACCAGACTGCAGCTCATCGCTCTTGGTCAGACTGCAGCTCACCACCACCCTCGGCTGGACTACAATCATCACTTTTAGCTGGACTGCAGCAGCTCTCCCACCAGCAGGTTTTTCCCCTCTCCCTTTGCTTTGGACTCAGGGGGGGCCCAGGGAGTACTGTTTTGTTTGTGCCCTGGGGTGCCAGGTTGTACATTTGGGTTTTGTGGGTTGATACCAATTGCTTGTCTGTGTAGTTGTGCTTATTGTATTATTTTATTAAATTGTTATTCTGACTTACAATCTCTCTTTTGAGTTGAGTTCATTTCCCCTGCTGGTTAACTTTTAAACCAGCACATTCAGGATTAAAGATTTTTTTTACTATAGATACTTCAAAGAAGATATTCAAATACCCCATCCTGATCACTCCATATCAGGCTATGATTTGTTACAGCATTTAAGTTCAGATTTAAGAATACTGCACATTTACCCTGAGAGTGTACTCCTGGTTTAGTATCTTAAATAGTCATTAATCTAGTACCTCATAACACTGGTTTACTGGATTACAAAAACTGGCCATAATACTGGTAAATACAGTATATTTGGGAAAATACACAGCTAATGTATGAGGCACGTCCTACGTTCCAATCAAAGTTTAGAGGAAAGCAAATTCAGCTCATGCAAATGTGTGATAAGACATAAAAAGAAGTTTACAGATAACTTTTGGTCTTTGTTTTTTGGAAGATAAATCACAATTTTGAAGCAACAAAATCTGAAACACTAAATATAAACAAAGCTACAAAAAAAATCCTCCTCACAGCAGTGTATATAAAAAGTACTCATAAGATGAACACACCAGGGTCTTCTTTTGATTCTAATTAGTCTTGACCTGTTCCTACTGTGACAGTAACTTCAAGATTAATATTTCAGTTTCAGATGCAGCATTTCACATACTACTGAGTTACCTTTGAATATTATCTTTTCAACTTGACTTTGCAAGACACAAAGTATGTGAAAGATCAGAAGCAATGGGAATCAACAGGATAAAGAAACAGAAATTCTGCTGCCTTGCTGCATTTTATCAGTCAGCATTTACCTAACATGCTCATCAACCAGGGATCAGAAAGATAGGTGCATCAATGGATCATAGTTCAAAAGCCTAAAAGTTAACTTCTGAGCATACTCATCCTAATTCACTGCCAAAGTTAAACTGACTTTGTACTGAATCTGGCTGGGATGGAGTTAATTGTCTTCACAACAGACTCCATGTTGCTGTTTTTGGACTTTTTTTCTGAAACAGTGTTGATAACACACCAGTTTGGCTAGTGCTGAACAGGGCTTGCACAGCCTCAGGTCTTTCCCTGTTTCGGACTATGACCCCACAGAGAGTAGAGTGGAGCTGTGCAAGAAGCTGAGAGGGATACACAGACAGGACAGCTGAGACAAATCGACCAAAGGGATATCCTCTTCCATATGACATTGTGCTCTTGATGAAAGAAGGAGGAAAGAAGGAGGAAGGAGAGATGTTCAGTGTTATGGTATTTGTCTTCTCAAGTAATTGTTATAATGAGACTCTGCTTTCTAGGAAGTGGCTAAAAATCTGACTGGCAATGGGAGGTTGTGAAAAAATATCAAATTTTGCTTTGTTTCAGTGCACAGTTCTTGCTTCACTTGTTAAACTTTCTTCTTAAGTTTTTCTCATTTTATTTTTCTGATCATCTCCTATACCCTATAACAAGTAATTGAGAGATTGGTATGTGCCTACTGCTGGCTGGGCTCAGCCCACTGTAGGATTCTTTTTGGAATTAAATGGCCACATTAAGAAGAAACAAAACATTAAGTCCTTCATGATTGTCCCAGACTTCGTAAGGATGAGGAAGGTGGACAGAACAGCTATGTGTTCTATTCAGAATTTGGAACCTCTGCTACTGTATAATACACTGTTCCTACAAGCTTATTAGTCTACAGATGTTTAAGGAGCTAATGGGCTTTATTTCCCTCTTTTGCAGCTGTATTTTTACTCAGTAGTAAAGATCGTGGTTGGCATTTCTTGTTACCTTTTTCATTTTGATAACTTCTACTTTTTCCTTCATCTACATTACAAAATTCACTTTAACACACTTAATCTCATTTTTAAATTTTATTTAATCCACTTCTGCTTATCCTCTCATTCTATCCTTTTCTTTCCATAGCATCTCAGGCTGCAGCGCAGCAGAATGATTGGAGTTATACTTTTTAACTTACATTGATATTCTTAATAGCTCTTTAAAGCTAACAACTTGAGTGGAGCCACTGTTATTGTCCGAAGCCATCATGATACTTTGGTTGATTAAGTCATAAAAAACACCTATGCAATCACCTACAACCATCATGAATTCCCTTTCATAACACAAAAGTGGAAGAAATCTGCAGGAAATCTGTCAGTTCTAAGAACCCTCCATTTAGCACAGCAAGTAACATTTAAAGGATTCCTCACAAACTCATAGCAACTCACTCCTAAAAGCTTTGATGCTTTTATTATGACTCTTTCCTTCTCCATTTAACTCCTGTCACTAACTACTTCAGAAAAGAACACATTTCACAAAGTAAATACAAAAGACATCTCTTAGAAAAGCATTCTAAATTGTGAAAAAGAAGTTACAAGACACAAATAATGTTACACCTGTGCAGAAGAGAAATCAAGCTTAGAAGAATTTGCAACATTCTTTGATTGGAAAAGCTATTTCTGATGTCTTACATACAGCTAGTCCAAATGAAAATAAACATACTGAAACAGAAACACCTACAGTTCTAGTGTTTCATGCACAAACTAATACAAGCAGTTATTATTCAGTGATGATTTAATGACTGAAATAAAATAAATACTGCTGTACGTTAAAAATACTATTTCCTTGTGTAGGAAGTACTCAAATGTGCACCACTAACTTACTTGCTTTTGTATCTTCTATTCTGCCAATCATTGAATGTCTCACCCACTATATTTTTGCATTTAAAAAGAGAAATGTAGAGAAGACAAAACGTTCATCCTCAGTGGTTCAAAGACTTGAGTGTGTACTTCTATTGGCACTGATTTCAAGTAAAATATGCCAGTTAACAGCAGTGGTGGGTGTCAAGCACCATTTTCTTGGACCTCGGCTCTACACAATCAAACAAGGAAAGGTATCATATACCAAGACTGAAAAAAGTGACTAAATTACAAGCAGTCTTTTGGCAAATAATTACTATAATGGATTTCTATGAATGCAAAAACAAAGTACTGTAGACTCATACGATCGTTTCAATGTAAAGTAAAACTGACACTCGAATTCAGCAAATAGTAATAGTGTTAGCAATCACCTACACATCAAGAAACTTTTATGATTGAAGTTGCTCTTCAGCTGAAAAACGAGATATGAAGAGCCAAATGACCCTTGTAAGAACTTTACTCATATCCAGAAGCTAAACTAGAAAACTTTGAAAAGCTGCAATTTGTTTCTACCCATAAAAGACTCTTCACTCCTACAGACTTAAGAAGCTAATGTTCCTACAATGTCTTCTTCAGTGTTCCCATCAACTTTTCTGGAACTGGGCCCAGGGCAGAAGTTGTAAACCTACACCAGCTGATTTCTAAGAGAATACTCCTCTGTGATTGCAGCTACTATTCACAAGAGAGCTGTGCATAACCTGGAATCAATCACTGAGCAACACTGAGAAAACAAAATTTCAGCTTTCTCTACTGCATACCTTGTTTTGATTCCTGACCTTCCGGTTTGCTGTCTTCTCTCAGAGAAGAAGTTGAGTCTATACTGTTGTCCTGTCTGGAAAAAATTAAGAACACACTGTAACCAGCATAACTTACGATTTAATGTAACTTTTTAAAGAAACTAAAGAAATTATGAGGTGGTAGGCCAATAAGCCCACTGCAAGGAATCAAGGCAGAAGGAACATACAGAGTGCTAATCTGAGCAATTGAAAACAAACCTTTTTTTGCTTTGCCTAGTAATACACAAAGATAAAGCAATTATTTCCACTACACCCCAGCCTTTCAGAGTCGCTACCCTCAGTGGTTACAGCTGAGGAACCACAGCTTCTCGTATTAGGAGCTTTTTGCTAAAACTCGACATAAATTGTCACAGAGTTAAACAATTTGAAAAAACAACAGTTTCTGCTGCATTCAAATAGTATTTACTGTTTTACTTTGAAAGTAAAAAGTTACTTTCATGAAGTTATAATTAGGCAACCACTACCTACCTCTCCAACACCACAATCTCATGGTTTCACAAAAGGATACTTTTAAAAATTAAACTGCAACTGAGATGTTACATTGTATCCAGTACCTGCATTTCTCTAGTCCATCTATTTGAAGATTTCCACCCTTGTAGTGTTCCAATTGCTTTATACAAGGGATAAGGAAGAGACACTTCTGTGAAATGTTCATGTACTTCAAACACTTCACACCTACTAGTTATAAAAACTGCGAAAATACAGCAAAACATGCAGGAAGGACACAGGTGGAAGGACCCAGCAGCACAGGACGGGTTTATGTTTATGCCACGTTTAGTGAGCATTTTAAAAGCAGAATTGGCTGTTTCCTTAAACTGGTCCTGCTGGTGTGGCACTGATTTCATATATAGTAATATGGAATCAATGCAACTATCTTGCCTGTGGGAGCTTAATAATACTATAAAAAGGAAGCAGTACTCTGGCATCACAGATGTAAATACAATGACTAATAACTTGTTTTTCAGTAGTGGCCTTAAGGGTCTTCCTAAAATCGAATATTGATCTACTTTCCCCATGCTGTCCAAGCTGTTTTTTTTCTAGGTGTTCAACAGTTACGTCAGAGAGGAGAACACTGTAATACTCCTGGACATCTTGGTCTGAAAGGCAGTTATTTTCACTTCTATTTCGTTTTCTAAAGTATCAAAGGCTACAAATCAACAAATTCTTCTTTTTCTCCCACTTTTTTTAGCCATTGGAAAATAAATGTGTAAAGTAGTATGCAATAATTGATTATGGAAAATGTGAGCTATTTTCATAATGCACAGAGCACCCCAAAAAAAAGATTTTTTAATGTTATGTGCCTTAATAGAAGACAGACAAATGTACTGCCCAACGCCATTACAATAAACTGAGAATAGACTATTTACTGTGACAAATTTTTCTCAGAACTCAGTGGTATCCTTTCAGTTTGTTTTCCTACTTGGTCAACTCAACCAGAAACTACAAAGAATGAAAAATGTACACTTCTTCCAGGACTTTCAATGTCATGCATCAGTACGCAGATGCTTGTAATTCACCCTCAAACCTCAGGCTAGTCTAGCCAACAAGTAGGATGAGAGGTCTGGGAGTAAGGTATCAAATAGACTGGAAAATCAGAAGGTGAAATCCTAAAATACACCAGGCCTTGCAAGTAGGTAAATTCAGGGACCTCAATGGAGCACTAGACACTGTAGAGATCAACAGTTTGAGTGTCAGCTACTGGGGACAATCACAGGCCTGCACCTACCATTGGACAGGCCTACGTGCACAAGGAGGTCTGATCAGCAGCTGGAGTGGGGATACAAACCTTGTGGGCTTGTGTGCCAGCAACTGGGGAGAGCTGTGGATCTAGTCCAGCTATCTGGAAGGAACAATTTGATTTTTTCTTTTTTTTTCCTTTTTTGTTTTTTTTTGGTACACAATTCCTAGCAATTTATTATACTTAGTCACCTATCTCTTGAACAAGATAAGGCTGTGATATACCCCTTAGCAGAAGCTGCTTGGGCTGCCCCTGCTCCTACCTACCCCATCCTCCTTCATGCACATGGTTCATCATTTTGAACTGAGTAGTCAGTTCTGCACTGGACAGCAATATGTCACCAGGAAAAGCCCAAGCTTGCACCAGTAGCATCAGGCAATAAATTTCACATCTCTGGTACCATCTTGAGATCTGATGAGGAATTATAATCACCTTTTTGACAGAAAGCTCAGTGACCTCTACATTCAAACAACAGCTGTGAAATTATCTACACCCATTTTAACAGCCATGTAAAAAGAAATTATCAACTGAAAAAATTCACACATTGAAACTTGTTGTAAAGTTTCCTCCTGTTTCCTTCACTCTATCAATGATTATACCAAAACCACATTCCATAAAAGACTACTTCCTTATCAGCAAAAGAATTTTTAGAACCCACAAGTACTTTAACAGCACATTTTATTCTCTCAGAATTAATAGCATTGGACTGTATTGCTGGTGAACCTCCACGACTTCCTTTCACAGGCAAGCATTTTGCACCATCTACTGGCCCACCAGATGCATTTCAGTCCAGTTCAATTTTGCTTTCAATTTGTTAACCCTGTTTAATTTGTTTGCTAGTGAAAAATATTTTTTCCCTAATTATCCATACTGTGGTTTAGATTTAAAAAGAGGTAGTACAATATCTTGTCTTCAAACAATGGGAGCAGAAGATATGCTAATCTAAACTTAAGGGACAGCATACAAATTTAATACCCTCTTCTTTCATGCTATGCTAGTGACAACAGTAATTTGGAGTTCCCCCTTTTTATCAGCCTTTAAAGATACTTCTCCCTCAGGGATGACAGTTAAGTTCAAAGTCCCTCTTCCAAGCAATAAACTCAGTATTTTTAATTTGTTCTTTTAACAGAACAACAATTTCACAGTATGACCTTTCAGTATAAAGAAGCTACTACAGTTACAGTTTGTTGATGACAAATGCTGTAAATAAAATGTACCTTGTTTTATGTAGAGCATACATTCCATATTGGCATGCTCCACACTAGTGCAATGCTTACTTGGGTTCACACATGTGGATTCTGTATACAATTTGTTACAGGAATTTGCATAGTTGTCAAAGACATTTGGGTTTGAGGGTGAATTGGTATCACAACACCAGTAGATTATGCAAAGTGAGGTAAGACAGCAGCACAGATTAGGAAAAGGGCTACCAGCCATAGGTGTGGATGGCTAAGGATTAAGACAGTAGCACTGCAGTACTGGTGTATGGGACACCAAGTTTGGTGTCTGGTATGGTAACTGGGGTTGGAGACCAGGAGGGAAAGTCTTGTGAGAGAAAAAAATATCTTAATGAAGTGGACTAGAAGAAAGTCTGAAAACATGAGAGACAGTCATGCTGATACTTTCTTTACAGGGCTTTCAATAATCACTAAGAAACATTCACCTAAATCTCCTGTGTGAGGCTTGAGTTCAGCATCTCTGCTATTCTTGACATAAAGATGATGTACTGTCATGAATTAAAATTTGCCTTTGCACTTAGTTCTAAGTCTAAAAAACATTTCTACAATTCCAAGTCCTTGTAAGATTCTTGCCAATTTTAATTCCAAGGATAGTTTTCAATGACAAATGAGAACTAAAATAATTATCAGGAAGCAATTAAAAAAAGTATGGCGAAAAAAGTTCTTATAAAGTAGTGTTCCTTAAGAAAGGTATCTCAAATGACAGATGCTAATCAAATAGTTTAATGAACTATAAAAATTCCCTCAGTCCTGCTACAGGTGTTGTTTGAGGACATCACAAGAACAGAAGACAATGAACCAAATTAGCCAAATGCTAATGTATCTGCTCACTGACTCATGTAGCCTGTTGTTTCAGTGATTCCAAATGGTGAATATAACCAAATTGTCCCCCTGGGGTAAATACCACATGGTAGTTCCATGCTTGTGAACAGCCCAGTACCCAGGAGCACATGTTAAAACAAGGCAAAACTTTAAACTGCCAACCTTTCTAAAAGAAAACAAGCAGAAACTGCACTTATGACTGCGAAACAGTAAAAAGCCTATAAATTCTTTAAAGAGCAAATATTAAACTTCAAATTTTCATTCAGTGAAAAAAATAAGCCCATTAAAATTTTGAAAGCAAAAGGTCATTTACTTACACACACGTGAACATATGATCACTATAATAATACTAGCATGTTTGTTCTTTCAATTATTTTTTATTATTACATCATATAACTTACTTTCATTCCTTCTGCTGGAGGATATTTAAATAGCCGATTTAGGTAACAGGAAAGAAATAGCTCAAGAACATACCTCTTGAATGAGGTGGGAAGAATGACTATTTGGTTTCCCAAAGCATTATTTGACTCCTTTCAGTTAAGTATCTGAAATTTAATTGGAAGCTTGGTATATAGTAATTCTCCTGGTTTAATGGTACTCCATTGCAGATAGTAACAAAAATCTGAGAACTGCATAGACAAAAATCTATACAGAGTTCATAAGTAATAAAGTAATTTATTGCAACAGCAATTTCCAGTTACTGTCAAACATAGGCCCTGGCTCTTCAGTTCTTCTGCACAGTTATTGCAAGATTTCTAGTACTTGACACAGAAGAAGTTAGTGACAAAAGAGCAAATGTTTTACATGTTAATGGAAGCGTGTGAAGCTTTTATAGAGCTGAAATTTAGGAAAAAGCCCCAGGACTTCCTCTTTTGGTGGCAGAATGAGGACATGTGGGGAAAAAAAAAAAAAAAAAAAGGAAGATTCAATTTACAATTAGATGTGATACCACCCAAAAGTGTCAGATAAAGATCTGAATTCTGCAATTTTCCCTGTACCTGGAGAAACTTCTCTAAATCCCTACTACTTTTAGCTGTTGGAGACAAGAAGCAGGTCTTTAGAGACAGAGAGTCATTTGCCTATTATAGGGGGAAAAAAAGACACATTTCAAACTATACCCTTCTAAGGAAGCCTGTAAATTTTCATACACTTGTAATTTATTGAGATGTATTGATTTAAACTTTCTGGATTTCTGTTGATATATGCATACTCCTGAGGTATGTCTGTTTGGGGTTTTTTTAAGGATAAAAATGAAAAAAACAAATTGATGTTTCCATCAGCTAATACATTTTGGATTACAGTAAGACTTGGTATTCACTTTTTCCCTTTCCACATTTACACTTCCATGAAAACAACTAATACAAGTCAGATTTAAAACAAAAAAGCCTAATGCTTTACTTTTGCAACATTAATAGAATGCAGAAAAAAGAAGTCAATCACACAAAAACCACAAGTAATGAAGACAATCTAGGAAGAACCAACAATGAGGATATAAACAGAGAAACCGCCTTTTTTGTTATGAAGAGTCTTTTCCAAGAGAAGACAAATTCACCCACTTAAACTCAGACTATAATTGTAAATATACTAATGATTACAAACAACTGAAATTGTTAGCAATGCAGCATTCACTATTTTTTCATGACTGCATGTTCAGCTTCTCTGCCGGCTGACTTGTTGCTGAAACACAGTTTCTGAAGTTTTGCAAACTTGCATTTATAATTATTTACACACAGGTTGCAAAGAAGCTACCCTAACACCCAAAGATTAGCCCTAATTAGTAAAAAGGGCTTGTTACCATTTACAGTTGTAAAAGCATAATACTAGTCTACTTAGTGAGTGCTGGACTTCAACATAAAACCTTAACTTTCTTTGTTTCCTCCTATCCCTTTATTTTTCTACCATCCAAACAGTTTTCCCATTTTGGTTTTTTTTAATGCTGGTACACAGCTGAACCTATGAGCCACAGCTCTCAGATAGCACCCATGGGTGTAGCACACAATTTTTTAAAGGTAGAAGAAAAGCCACAATTCCTAAACCAACATACCTTGCCTGCCCAGTTTGAAGGGGTCTGAAATCTTAAACTCTCAGGATAGAGACAGAGATACAAGAGCAGGGGGCACCTCAAGCATTGTTTGCAAAAGGAAGCAATCTGCTCCATAACTGTGATCAACATCTCTCATTCTTTTACTTTTTTAAAACACAATTTTTTCTTGATTTTGCTGTCAGTTACTGAAACCTTCCTACTTGACATGGGCAAATAGGCTAAGTGTCTTCAGATATTCACTAGTTAAAAATGGTAAATCCTTCTTGCTTTTCTTATTTTGTTGTTTTATCCATTAATTTCCTCTTTTTAGATTTTTACCATCTCAAATAATTTTCATATAAGCAAGAATTTACCCAATCTACTGTAACTAAGGGTCATAAACTCGTGTCTCAACATTAGCAAACATCTTTTAGACACAGACCCACCTCACTGAAACCCAGCAGCACTAATTCTGTCATAACTCTTGAAGATAAAGAACATTTAATATATTTTGAAATAGTAAAGAACTTGTGAATTAGGCCTTAAAAAACCCCCAACAAATCAAACATGTAATTTCTCCAGTAATCAAAACCCTGGGGCATTTTCCATGGTTTATTTAGCCAAAAAGTTTGTCTTCGCATTCTATTTAGAACTTTGCTGGCAAACCATCAATCACTTAATAGAGACTCCTTTACATAAAGAGACCATATATTTAACATATTTTGTAATTTTTGGTTTTTTCTATTTGCTTTTTTAAACAGTCAGCAGAGAGAAATGTCCAAAATAAGAAAACTAACCTTCATGTGTCCTAATACAGACCCTAATCACAGATCATGTAAGCAACAAATAGCGAAGAGGGATACAGTAAAAAATGGGCTTCAAATGGAACCTTAAAAGAAATAGTGTCAGAGGGTATGAAAACTGTATCACGAGAAAAAAAAATGAAACATAATTTAGTGTCACTCTGTTTTCTAGTATGTTTATATGATGACATGCGATCAAAGAAAATTACTTCATTCAATTACTGCATAGCCTGCTCTGAATCAAAGACAGACTCAGAAGTTAGGTCTCCATTAAATAAAAATACTGACCAGAGTGTGAAATTTGGATTACTACCAATAGTAATTTGGATTACTGTTACTACTACTGTTCCCATTCAGTAGGTTTAGACAAACCAACAAAACCAGCAGCTAAGAGGTACTTGAATCTGCCCAATATTGGTGTATTGTCTTGTACTCAGAGATTTATTAAGTGTGCATTGAATCTGTGGACCAGCTGAAACCAAGTCGGTGCTGAAAACATAAAAGCTTATTCATCTTCTAGGACCAAATTAGCCTCCTAAGATTTGATGTTTTGTGAGTGATAACTAGTAACTTTCTTTTCCCCTTCACTACTTCCATAGAAACTATCAAACAGGTGAACTCTTTCTGACAAAGAAATGGTCTTTAAAAAGCAGACAAGCATTTTAAGAAAACGTTAACAAATGTTGGCCTCTACAAAACTGACAGATGTCAAGAATAAGAAACCAGAAGCCTCTGCTGTTGAGAAGCCTCTGTTCTTGAAATGCTACATTCTATATCATCCCTAACAGAGAACACTGAGTGCCAGTGCTGCTTCAACTGGAGTAGGATGAAGGACCAGAAAGAAAACGGAAGGTATAAATCTCAGCTGAAATGAAAACACACTTACAAAATTCACTGACTTAAGTGGGAAGGGGTTACTTAACCTGCTTTAGCTCACATAAAGAGAGTTAACCTAAATCAACAGCCCTCTGTTGCAGGCTTCAAGTGTGAACGTTTAAGTACCACAATTCAGCTGATGGGTAGTATGCCACTATGAACCCAGTTATGTGCTTAAGACACATTTAATGTTATAAAGTGACAAATTCCTTTTTGTAAGTTTAGTGCTTGCTAATGGTCACAGATAACTGTCATTCAACTGAAGCAATTACTTCATTAAGGATATAGCACTAGGGATTTTCAATGATATATTTGATCATTTCTCATGAAAAATCTCTGTATTGTTCAGTCTTCTTAAAGTAAGTTTAAGTGTTTTTTCTTTTACTCACTGACTGACTGAATCATCTCCAGTCTTGTCTCCTCCATTTGTCTCCTCGTCAGTATCAGAATCAGCTCCCATCCTGCCTAGATATACACAGTTTCAAACACGAAAATTTAGGAAGGTGATATAATTAATACTACATAATTAGGCTTACTCTTAATTATTAACTCTATTACAATCATCAGAAGAGGATTTTTTTCCCAGTTAAAGCATAAGTTCTAAAATTAGACTTAGTCAAAACTGAAACCCTTATTTGCGAGCTTTCTGCTAGCCACATGGTTGACATTTTTCATTTATACTGTATTACAAAAAAACTTATTAGGTGTTCCTAGCACAATACTATAGGTGCTAAGCACAGGAGACAGAATTAACAGCATGATACTCCACAACATTCAAGACTTGAAGAGTTCCACTTCACTGAGAAGACAACAATATGTTTACAAATAAATTCTGTAGCCTTTAAATGTCAAGTGGAAATTCAATAAAATAAGAAAAAACTGGAATGTCATATCCTTAATCCAAGTATATGAACTGTGTGTCTTGATGGAACAGAGGGATTATGTATACAATAACATATACTTAACAGTGTGCGTAAAGATATATAAGTATATAAAGCAGCTAGAAAGAGTGTAAATCCTGTCGAGGCAGACTATTCTCTGGTGTACAGTGGAGCCTAAAAGTTTAATTCATACCTTCAAGTATCTTCAACAGGTTTTTTTCAGATAACAGCTCCAACTGCTCCATGCAAAGTCTTTTGATTTCATCCATGGAACAGTTCTAAGAAAACAGATAAGACAGACAACAAACTACTAAAAAATTCTGAGAAAAGAATAATTATAAACATAAGTAGTACTCCAACTGTAATGAATGAACTGCTGTAGAAAACTAGCTGTTCCAGCTTTGACAACTACCAGAAATAGTATATGTGTAGTTTTTCTCTGAAAAATTAAGCAATACACAGTATCAGTTACTTGATGTGTGGCTGGGAGTTTCCACTGCAGCTGCAACACTGAGCATTATAAATTCCAGACCATATGTGTGAAGCATGGGACAGCAAACAACTGCAGACCTGGTTACTCCTAATTCTCCAGCAGTCAGGAAGAAGTGGATGACATAATTAAGCGTGCAAAGACCAGAGCCAACTGTTGAATAAAAGTTCACAAACTGAAGAAAATACTGCTACTGACAACACACAGTTGCATGTCACAACACTGAAAATAAAAGAAATATGTAAACTGTGATTCATCTCTCACGCTCCATACATCTGTCATACCTCTTGGTGACATAATGTGGCAATTTTGCACTTTCAAATGAGCTATGACACCACATACAAGTACCAAAATTAAGAAGTGCTGAACATATTGTAACACTCATAGTCCTACAGTAGGTTTGGTTCTATACCATCAGGCAATTTCCTTACAAACTCAATAATGTCTTTGCTTTCAGCTGCTCAACCTCTTTTCTTCTCCCAGAGATGAGAAATGGATGAGACTGTATGCAATTCTGTATGTGTTTAAAATGAAGAAATCCTGCCTCACTTATATTAATAATACAACTCATTCAGATTAGTTAAAAACTAGAGACAAAAATTTTAAAACTATTAACATCACACAAATGGCACTTCACCTTCTTCTGTACAGACTGCTAGCTTAACTTATTTTTTTCTATGTCCTGCTGTTCACAAGATTCAAAAGGCATATGTTCAAAGCCAGTAAAACTCCAGCTTTAGCCCACAGAAGTTACAGCCTCAGAAGCTGTTTATCAACACAGGGTTTCATTTTCTTATCTCAGACACTACTTTAATATCATACAAAGAAAATCAGCTGACACAATCAGAAATCAACATTTTATTAACAAATCATCACATTAATTACTGAACAACATTACTGAATTTACTCTTTGCAGTTATGAAATTCCTTTTGCACTTAACTAAACAGTACAGAGAGATAGTACAAAAATAAGCCTACAGTTCAGCAACAGCTGAGTAGTATAAAAAGGAGTAATCAAGAATAACTACAGCAAATCTTTAAACAGTCTCACTTCTAGACTTTTCCTTCCAGACAGAAGGAAAACTTCTTTACTTAAGAAAAGTACTTGACTTGACAGAGACTTCTTTACTTAAGAAATATACAGGCAGCTTTTAAATTCTAAATCCACTAGACTTGAGGGATAAACATGCTTTGTTACACAGGGATTCAAGATCATAACAAGCATATCAATGTCAAGTTTATTTCGGTACCTTTAAAGTATCAGGCAGCATCCTCTGCAGTTTCTTCTCCCCTATGACACAGAAACATTGTTGAAGCATTTCCTTTTTGTCCGCAATGTAGAAACTGACAGGTTTGAGTGACACTGTGAGATCTAATCCTCCTTCTTCTACATCACTGGGCTGTTCAGTTTCTTCCACTTTTTCTCCAGAGGGTACATTGCATTTTGCTTCCTAAAATCAAGGAGGGCAAGTATTGTTTTCACATTTTTTAGTGAATTAGAGAAGAAACTTACAGCTTCACCTGTGCTTGCAATAGTTTTCCCTTCATAATTGCAAGGTACATCTTAGTGTGGACTTCTCAGGTTCCAAAAAGTGTTTCATATTGCAAAGTAACTGCATTACAGAAGCTACTTTTTTGATTACTGAAACCACCCTTATGCCAGGGAAATTTTTTTAAATCTTCAAAAGGCAAAGACTACTTGTAAACATTAACTGGGAAATATCATCTGCAAATGCCTAGCTGCTGCTTACACATGAAGGTACACTTTAAAGCAGAAGAAATCCATCTCCCTGATTTGCTGTGCCATTAAATCACAAGAGTTCATCATTTAAATTGGCATATAATTCCCTGTGTGACACAGTCTTCAGAGAACAAAGGTGGAGTTAATACTAGAAAACATACCTTCTATGCATCATAGATTACTTCTATGAAATAATAATAATAATAATAATAATAATAATAATAATAATAAACAACCAGCTAGAAATATATTTTGACAGCCTCAGAATTCACTCAGACGTGCATGTACTCGCAGTTTTGTACTTGCACTCAAACACCACCTTGAGCAGATTCACCGTGCCACGAGCGTGAGAATCACGACTGGGGCCACCTCTGAGCTTGTGACCCATATGCCTTAACATCCCTTACACCCGGGAAAACACAGACCGGTCTCCTGGGGCGGTCCGGCCCGTGCCTGCCATGGTGCCTGTGCCGCGCATCTCTCCGCCCGCTCTCTTTGCAGCCGCACCGACGAGCCGCGAACGAACCCCCCGGCCCGGTGCTTGTGCCGCCAGCCGCTCTCAGACGGCCCTTCCCGCAGCCATCCCCCGGCACGGAAAACATGCAGCCCTCTGCCGCCGTAGCGGGGTCGGGTCGGGACGCGCCCGGGACAGCACAGGAGCGACGGCACCTCCCAGACCCCCGGAGCGCCCGTGAGATACCTCCAGGGCACTGTGGGTGGACTCGGTGCTCCGCCGCTTCCTGTCGCTGCCGTCCGGCCCCGGGGCTCCCTCCGGGCAGCAGGAGCGCGAGCGGCGCCGCTTCTTCTCCTTGGAAGATTTCCTGCCCGGCATCGCCGCGGTCTCACGGCGCGCCCGGGGCCGCGCCGCCGCGGGGCGGGGCGAGGGGGCGCTTCCGGCAGCGGGAGGGCGCAGC